CATGTAAAACCAAACCTGAACTAAACCTTAAACCCTAAACTCTAACTAAATCCTAACCCTAACCCTATGTTGGCTTATTGGGTCCTGTGGACTAGGTTCCTTGGCCTCCATGTACACGTACTTCGGCGTGAAAGCACTTCCTATGTGGGTACTTTAAGCCCTAAGCATATACTAGATAGGTTGTCCTCTGCATGATGGCCCCTGTTTAGGTTCTAAGACGGACCAAAAAAAAGGACCCTGATCTAACCCCTTTAAAAGGGTTGCTTTCGGGCTCCCTTATTGACCACACGGACCCCTTTTAAAGATGTCCTCTAAAGGTTCTCTTTGAGGGTTCCTTTAGGGGTTCCTTTTAAAGGGGTCCTCTAGGGGTTCTTTTTGAGGGTTCCTCTAGGGGTTCCTTTAAAGGGGTCCTCTAGGGTTCCTTTAAAGGGGTCCTCTAGGGGTTCTTTTTAAGGGTTCCTTTTAAGGGTTCCTTTAGGGCCACATGGAGCCTCTGGGCATCCTTCGAGGCCGAACTGCTTGCAGCAGGAGCGGCGTGCCAAAGGCTCTCGAGGCCGCGTCGGTGCACGGTTTAGGGTTTAGGGGTTAGGGTTTAGGGTTTGGGGTTTGGGGTTTAGGGTTTAGGATCAGGTCAAGTGTGGCTTTGTTGTTAAGTTCTCATAGAGGCCTTAGTAACCATAGGGTTTTATTAAGGGTCCTTTAAAGGGGTCTGTATGGATCTATACTAGGATTCTACACTGGGGGCCTTCATGATTACCAAAACACTATTTCGGGGTTCCTATAGTAGGTGGAAGCCTCCAAGTCCGTCTGGTTCTTTGTAGGGTTTAGGGGTTTGGGGTTTAGGGTTTAGGGGTTTAGGGTTTAGGGGGTTTAGGGGTTCAGGGTTTAGGGGTTCAGGGTTTAGGGGTTTAGGGGTTTAGGGGGTTTAGGGGTTTAGGGTTTAGGGGGTTTAGGGTTTAGGGGTTTAGGGTTTAGGGTTCAGGGTTTAGGGGTTTAGGGGTTTAGGGGCTCCGTACACTGAACCCAGGAAAGTTGAAACATGGATTTAGGATGATTAGTGCTAGGATTCCCCATACTTGATCTTAAGGGCACGAGGATGATCATGCTCGAGCTCTCTGGCTTGGGTTCCTATAGGGAACTATAAGGGTTCTATTTTGGTGCGCATTCCAGTACAGCTGTGATACGGAAGCCTTTGTAGTAGGCTAGTAGGCTGCAAGGTTCAGAACCCTGTTGGCAACCTCCTCAAGGAGTTTAGGGTTCACGTCTCTGAACGGCCAAGACGATGTAGCAGGAAACATGAGCCTAAAGGCTAAAAGAAAGCACCTTGAGTCTTTCAATGATGTGCAGATGACTGGTGGTTGTTGTTTCCGTAGTTGACACCTTCCGGATGCGTTACGTTTCCGGAAAGCTGCATCCATCGATCGCGTTGTGAAGTAACCTAAGACCAACTAGATTTCCCACAACTTCGGCCGAAGTCATGGAGTCGAGACACCGGTTCGAGTCCGCTACGACTTGGGCTACCGCTACTTCGGGTCCATCTTGTTATAGTTCAGGGTTTGAATCAGGGGCACCGAGGGCCGAGTGCCTGTGTTGCAGGCGTTCTTTCCGCGTATGCTTTCCAGAATCAGTGGCGCAAAGCCTTCAGCTTGTCATCCCACGGAAGTGGAAATCCAAAATTCAGATGCCATCGGCGCAATGCCAACTCATTCAGCAAATCCCCACGAACCCTCAGCATAGTACGTGCGATGCGAGGGGGAGGCGGGCTGTGCGCATGAAAGTCCCAGCGTGCAGTACGGGGTGGGCGAACATTCAAACCAACTGAGGAAATCAACCATCCTTGATGCGAGTGACTTTGCACCCATTGGACCGTGATCGGGACATGGTCCCCTGCCGGTCGCCTTGTGCCTGTCAAGCCTTGTAGAAGGGGAGAAGTGTTTGCATCATGAAGTTTCTGAATGGTTGCATCGGATTGAATGCTGATCTTATGAATGCTCCTTGGTTTGCATTTCTGGTTTTGGTTGTGCTGGGCAGTGTTTGGTACTCTTTTAATTCCTAGTGTAGATTCGACATCCAAGCATGGGAAGAGACAGCCCTCGCAGATGCAGTCCAACAAGACGCAAACGCAGCAGATCGCCAATGCTATGTCCAGGGTGTGGCCGACGTGGACACATTTTGGCACAGTGCCCCAATGTGACCCCGCCCCCACCCCGTGGAAGACGCGAACTTTTCACGGGAAGATCCCCTGAGGACATTCTTGCACGAACAACAACACCAAAAGCAGCTCACCGCCGTCCGCAGCCACCTTTTGAACCACCCGCATTGCCCATCCAGATGCCACAGCCAACCCATGCGCACACATTTCCACCAGTCCCACCGCCGCCACCGCCGGACATGCACAACCTGCTTACGCAACTCGCTCCACTTGTCAGCATGTTGACAAATACCCCACCGCTACTGTCACAACCGTCACAACCGCAGCAGCAGCAGCAGCAGCAGCAGCGCCATATCCTGATCAGCAACAACCCTCACTGGCCCGACCAGGCATGGCTCAGCATGCAGTGCACAGCCAGTCTTCCATCCACGGTCAGGGTCTTCAAAGTGCCATTGCAAGCTTATCGCATGCGGAATTGCAGGAGCTAGTATTTGGAAATCATGCAGCGGGGCAGAAGATTCGTGACATGGCCTACAACTGCCCCCCACATCTGAAGCCCGATACTCCAAACGATGGCCCCACCTTCATCGAAGACCGCAAAGCATGCAACGCAGAGATGATGAGGAGGTGCAAGGCATTGTGTACAGCAAGCACTCGCAAATCATTCGCGGAAGGTTCTGCAGATTTTTGCCCCTACATCATGCGTGCCCAAGCCCGGCGAAATCTGCAGAAGATCATCCCGCTGATCCCTCTCGAGGCCGATACCTTCAACTTCTCAGTGTTTCTCACATGGCTTGAGCGCAACAGTCCCTACCACATGAAAGGACGCGAAGCACTTTCAGCAATGGTTCGCAAAGTAGCCGCATCGATAGCAGACGGGGGACAGGCGGACTTGGAAGCAAAGGATGCGGCTGGTGAATGTGAACCTTTGGGCACTGATGCTATTCGTATGCTTGCAGGCGCAAACCACACGGCAGATGAAGCAGCAACAGCGGCCATAACACTCACCCTTTCCGACCTCAAAGCATTTCACCCTCAACGGCTTCACACAGCAAAAACATTACGCAGTGTGGAGTGGGCTGTGGAGGAAACGGCCATACCTCAAGAAGCACCTGCAACATTGAAGTCCCGCTTTGTCAAATACCAGGCGGCTCTCAGCGAGCTCACACAGCAGCCTAAGCCCAAAGCCAGCGCCAAACGCAGACAAACCAAGCAACCGCATACGGACATTCCCGTGCTTGAAGAGTTCAAGCGCTTGTGCAGTGCCATGGGCACCAAGTTCGATGACACAAAAACTCAGGACATCTGTGCCATCGTGGCGGCCGTAAAAGCCCGCTGCGACTGCCAGGAGCATTGACTCCGCCAATCTCGCAGCAGCTCGTCAGGTGATTTCTGGGATCTGCATGGAGATTGCATGCCATGTCTGTCCAGGCCACCACACTACCGAGCCGATCTCACCACTTGTTTGCAACTTCTTCGCGATGTCAAGCAATGCTTGTATGGCATGCCTGACCCCCTTCCGTGGCGGTCTATTTTCCAGATTCACCGCACTTGCATTGAATTAGCAGGTCACTTTTTGCTAGCCTCCGTTCACAAAGGCCATGCCAAGCTCAGAGCGCTGGCAGCCACCTTGCCGGGGAGCAGTTGGCCCCCGCAGCAGCACTTGTTGGATGCCAAGCATGTCGTATACATGATTTGGTCTCCTCACCACTCTTGGTTCTACATCGGCAGAGCCACCAACTTTCAGGACAGATTGCGCCTGCACATTATGAGCTTTCTACGGCCTGAACGATATGAGCAACAACCCTACATGCGATTTCTTTCTGGTCGTCAGTGCGGCAACATGCCCAAAGCAGCAGCAGACCTGTGTTTCTTGCCCATCTCCATGTGCAGCTCGATGGCTCATTGCGTGCGGCTGGAGGCCCACGTCATAAGCCAAGAGCACCCACCACTAAACGAGCCGTATATCTTGCGCAAGCTGAGTGCAGCTCAATGCCCGGACAAGTTTCGGGGAACACTGCTACAGCAGAAACTTATCCACATCAAATTGCGGCCCCCTGCCCCCCCTGCCCGCTTCGCACAGCTTCGCAGACACTCGCAGGACACACACCCCAGATATGCAGCGGCAAATCAAGCACTGTTTTTGACACCCACACCACCGGATTGTGTGGCATGGTGGGCGGCCGGTGCATGCAACACTTTATCCACTGGAGACTGTCGGTCATGCCGTTCTCAACTCTTCAGCCTCACTCCCGCTGAGTGGCTCTCTGTGTGGAGGTATGTGTACAAGCGCGTGGAAGGTTCTCATCGTCAGCTTGGCTTGGCATTCCTTCACAAGGTGAGGCTGTTTCGAAGGTGGCCCAGACCGGTTTCGACTGTTCAAGCCACCATCCCCTGGACTGGTGACAAACTCCAACAAACAGCCTTCCGACATTTATTGCAGGCTTTGGCAGAGGAGTCGAAGTTTGCAGGCCATGTCGTGATGCTCCCTTTCATCAGGAACGTGCGGGTGCAACTCAATACAAGGCCGTCTGCAACGATCAGGTCCAAGCTCAGGTCAGCTTCAGGCTTCTACAAGCATTTGGGCAAACCGGAGCTGTGGCCATGTAGATGCGGTGATTTCCCAAGTCTCCCACGCTACCCGTCGCCAGATGGGGAAGCTCATGTGTATGCACCGCAGGATACTTGGCCATGGCCCTCAGCATTGGAGCAGTATCGCCGTGCACCTGCTCACACATCATTGCGCCCATCATTGCAGACGGTTCAAAAAGCCTGTGGTGAAGTGGTGCGCAGGCTTGTGGAACGAGTTGGCGTTCGACTCGAATCATGTGTGTGCGACAAGCTTGCGATGCAGCTGGTGACTTCTTTGTGCCCTCCTGACGAGCTCTATGCCAATGCAACCTTCCGAGAGGAGGATGTTGATGCGATGAAGTTGCAGCTCAAGGGGCTTTGCATTGAGGAGTTCCAGAAAAGTAAACATGTGCTGGTTGCAGAGTGCCCCCGGCGTGTTCACTTACTCACCCGCAGATTGTTCGAACTCAACGGCTCATCATCGCGCTTCAAGTACTTTCCAAGTCTGACGTCGGAGGCAGTCTTGCAAACGGTGAGTGTCATCCCAGGACTTGATGAATCTCTGCAACCTGCGAAGCTTTTCCCTCCACGCTGTTGGCGCATGGCGAGCGTCTCAGCTCCCAACAAGAAGAGGACCAAGCCTGATGACAGACGACCTGTGGTTGACAGGTCGTGTTGGCCAACGTCCCGTCTGGATGCTGCTGCGGCTCGGGCATTGGACTGGGCGAGTGCCAACCACTTGCCGACTCACACACACCTCGACCTACAACGTGCGGACGCAGCAGTTCCCTTGGTGGAGGCTTTCAACTCCTCAGGTCCTGCGTCACAGGTCTACAAGCTTGGTGCACATCTAGTGTCGTGTTTCTCCAATTTGCCGCATGTGCTCATTCGGGCAGCGTGGTGCTTCTACAGAGCCTCGTTGGCAGGCAAAATCGGCGGATTCACAGCCAGATACAAGCGTCATGGTGGACCCACCGTCCCTCACGTCCATGCCCCAGGCTGGAGGCCGGGAATGGTCAGTTTGACGCTGGCTGACATGGACACCATCATCCACCACCACTTGCGAAATGGTTGGTTTGGGTTTGGAGACTTAGTGGGTTTGGAGGTTGAAGGTCTCCCGATGGGAAGTTCTTTGGCAAATGCTCTGGCACGGATGACCCTCATCTACTGTGATGTTGCTTTCCACGCTGCTGTCTACCCAGGGCTCTGTCCACAGCCGTCTTTAAGAGGCAGACTGCGCTCGGTGACCATTCAGTCCATGGATGTCATGCTTCTTGAGCTCCGGTTCATGGATGATTACATTTGCTTCTGGAAGACGGACAGAGGCGCTACACGTTCACAGTTAGACATGATATCAGGGGTCCTTCGTCATGCTGTCAGAAGCCGCTATCCTTTGCCGATAGAGGAGGATGAGGGCAGTGTATTCATTGGGTTGGAATTCTCTCTGGGTGCGGAGGGCACAGTGTCGCTGTTCCCGTCATGGCTTGTGCTGTCGGCCTACGATCGTCAAGAGGTCCAGTTGCCATACATGAACTATGAGAGTTGGCTGCCTGTTGCAGTCAAGAGGGCGCTTCTACAGGGTGCGATTGCTAGAGTAGAGCAGTTTACCGTGCCTCAATCTGCACGGCCATGGGCATTGCAAAGGTTCATAAGTCTGCTTAAAGTCAATTCCTTCCCGGACCACTTGTTGGACAAGTGGCTAAAGGAGGCTGCGCATGGACACAGACGGTGGGTATCTCTTGCTTTTTGAGAGTGTAGTGCCCAAAAAGCTTGAGTCTGTTGCTCTTCCTCAAGGTTCCTCTAGTTGACGCGTCTTCGGTTTGGGTGTGCAGGGCTTCGTGTGGGTTTTCGGACGTTTCTTGCAGTGAGGGTTTTGTTTTTGGAACTGCTTGCGCCTGGAGCTTTGGTTCAGGAACGATTTGCGTGTGATTTGAGTAGCTTTCGGTTGCTTGGCTTTATGGGGTTGTTCTTGCACGGTATTGTTGCGGACTGACTTTTCAGCACATGTGGCGAGGCTGGGCTGGGCATCAGGTACTTTGCTTAGGAATGATTCCGTCGGATATAGCATTGGATCTTACTCCTGCAAGTGTTATGCTTGCGTCATAGCTTGTCGTCTTCTGCAACAATAACTAGAGAAAAGATCGCTGCTCCGAGTGGCGCACCGCCTTTGGGAAGCTGATGCCTTTTACGCAGATCTGGGTCTGTAGTAGCTGTGCCTGTAGGTGCGTTTGGGTGTCTTTGGGGACTTAGGTTGTTTTTCAATGATGTGCAGATGACTGGTGGTTGTTGTTTCCGTAGTTGACACCTTCCGGATGCGTTACGTTTCCGGAAAGCTGCATCCATCGATCGCGTTGTGAAGTAACCTAAGACCAACTAGATTTCCCACAACTTCGGCCGAAGTCATGGAGTCGAGACACCGGTTCGAGTCCGCTACGACTTGGGCTACCGCTACTTCGGGTCCATCTTGTTACAGTTCAGGGTTTGAATCAGGGGCACCGAGGGCCGAGTGCCTGTGTTGCAGGCGTTCTTTCCGCGTATGCTTTCCAGAATCAGTGGCGCAAAGCCTTCAGCTTGTCATCCCACGGAAGTGGAAATCCAAAATTCAGATGCCATCGGCGCAATGCCAACTCATTCAGCAAATCCCCACGAACCCTCAGCATAGTACGTGCGATGCGAGGGGGAGGCGGGCTGTGCGCATGAAAGTCCCAGCGTGCAGTACGGGGTGGGCGAACATTCAAACCAACTGAGGAAATCAACCATCCTTGATGCGAGTGACTTTGCACCCTAAACCCCTAAACCCCCTAAACCCCTAAACCCCTAAACCCTGAACCCCTAAACCCTGAACCCCTAAACCCCCTAAACCCCTAAACCCTGAACCCCTAAACCCTGAACCCCTAAACCCCTAAACCCTGAAGCAAAGAGCTCTCCCAGCAGGCCCTTCCCCACCGGTAGCTGGTCATCACTGCTGCAGAGCTACGAGAAGGAGTTGCTGACGTCGGGGCCCGATCTAAACCCTACCTGGGCGGTTGTCAAAATTATGGTCCCTTTTTGGGTACCCTCAATATACGTGCCGTATTATAGTAATGAGCCAAAACGGGACCTTAATTTTGACAACCACCCACCCGGACCCGAGGGAATCGACCTTTTTATGGTTCCCGATGAAGGGGTCGGCAATTGAGGGTTTAGGTACACCCTGAGGAGTTGCTGACGTCGGGGCGCAACATCATAAAGGTATTCATAGCATAAGCGTATAGGTCCCCTACTTCTGAGGGTATTTTGGTGCTTGCAAGGGCCCAACCGATCTCCCCCTTTCCCAAAAGCAGGCGTTTACTTATTACTTAGTCGTAGACTCACAAAGGGTCCTAAGTACCTATGTAATGGATTCACGAGGGGCCCTAAGTACCTATGTAATAGATTGCAGGGCTTCTATACTAAATGCTTTGTATTATGTTTCCGGGAAGTGTCCCCCATATCAGTACCTAGAACCGTTTGGGACCAAGTAACCCTTAACGGCAACGTTGTCAGGTACCACAAACCCCAAAGGTTAACCTTTAAGACCCCTAAATTACAGACAACCAAGTTTAGACCTCAGGATTCCATAATATCGGGCCTGGATGAGTTCCAATACTACTCCTTGGGATACTCCATAGGTGTACTAGCTTTTGTGATAAGGGTTGCAGTTGCACGGGGTGGTTTTGTAGTTTCGGATTTTAGGGATGTAAGGTTGTAGTTTTCGGTTCAACATTGTAGGGTTGTGGCAACATGGTTTAGTGAGACCTCACTTGGGATACCTTGATGCACCTTTTCAGAGAAATGGGGAACGTTTTCTATGACCCGTCTCTGTGGCTGAGGCCCATCCTGAATGCAACAGAGGACTCGTCGGCGTGGGCCACAGCATTTTTGGTGAATTTGTTTGGGGCCACGGCTTGATATTGGGGCGGGTTTTGGGGCCCGTCATACCATAATTTTCACAAGGAGCCCCCTTCCACAGAAAAACAATACTCCCGTGCTGAGTAACCTAAACCCTAAACCCTAAATTATGAAGGCCCCTATTTTCGGGGGTTTCAGGCTCGGAGCCTTTTTAATCTGCCCGATCCCGATCAGGTCTGGGTTCTTCAATCCTTAGGCCTACCTTCTCTATTGGCGTTTTGTAAAATACTGTTGATGATGTAAGTCCTGCATTGCCTTAAGGACCCGAAGCTCTGGGATTTATGGTATATTCCTCATTATTATGGGTGATGCAGGATCTATATCATCAACCGTAGGAGTTTCAATGCAAATGGGTGGTGGTCAAAATTATGGTCCCTTTTCGGGTCCTTGCTATAGTACGGCACCGATCATTTAGGGTACCAAAAAAGGCACCCTAATTTTGACAACCACCCAAATAAACCCAGCACCCTGCACCTGAGTCTTTTTTCGTAAATGCCCGACGAAGGAAGCTCTTGATACTTGAAGTCGTAGTTGCGTTTGCGCTGTACTGAAACAACTGTGCTGTAGGAAGCCAAGCAGTATCATGCCTTGCCATGCCAGACTATACCATCCCATCCCATTCCATCTTATACCGTACCATACCAAAGCATACAGGAGCATACTGTTGTGTTGTCCTGCAGTCCAGACTAAGGGATGCTAATACTATAAGATGTTACACTATACTGTGCTTGGCTCTGTTTCCAGACCACCAGAATCGAAAAGGTGTCGACAGGTGAGACTAGAGAAGATTAAATTTAACCTGGACCAGTGCTGCCGGAACTGCTACAAGTACTATTGCTACTGCTAATGCGACCACCACTACCAGTGTCAGTAACACTAGCACCGCCACTACCACGGCCCCTACTAAACTATTGATGCTGCTGCTGCTGCTGCTGACTTTCTACTGCTGCAGCATTCTGCTATCTCTCCCATGAAGACTGGTACGTACTGAAACTGCGACAGAAGTTTGAGGTTTTCGGGCTCTAAGTTTTGAGATTTGTGCTAAATCTTAAGCCCTAAATAGTTGTCTTGGAGTCGAGGATTTGTCCTGGGAGGGCCCCGGCGGTCATCGTCTTCTTTTCGACATCACTTGCCATTCTTTCGGCCTACGTCATATTTTCGGTTGTAGGTTTTCGGGTGTGGGGGTTTGGGTTTAGGGTTTGTTGTAGGTTTTCGGGTTTTGGGGTCAGGGTTTGGGGCCTGGACAGAAAACAGCCTAGCAGCCATTTGGCTCTTCCATGACGACGAGAGGAAGCAGAGCTCTATCCCGACTATCAATTGGAATAGGGTTTTGGGCTCCTTTAAAGGGATCCTTGATGGGTTCTCTGGTGGATAGGGGCCTAGAACAGTTAGACAGGGCCCATTATACTACAAGTATAATAAGGAACCCCTGAAATGGTAACGGTAATTATGTAGGTCCATATATATTAGGCTTTCGTTAGCTTTCTCCCGAGATAGGCACACCCAAGCAAGTGCCTCATTGCTCGGTATAGGTAGTACGTGAGAGTGATCAAGTAATACAGTGATTGAACGAAGCTTAGTGTTCCCTCTGGTGCTCCTGTCTTTAGTCTTTGCTATTGTTTTTTTCTCTCTCCCTCTCTCTCGATTGTATGTATATATATAGGCTGCCCAGAAGGGTCTCACGGCCGTCTACCAGGTGGTCAAGCGCCTTGCCCCCAAGACCGCTCGCAAACCCATCCTGTTCCGTGACAATCAGGGCAGCCCTCTTACGACGCTCCAGGAAGCCCAAGCTCTGCAAGACTATTTTCGTGGTCTCTATCGCTCATCCTCACCCGAGTCCCTTCCTCCTGGTCAGACTTTCCCACCCTTTGAACTTGATGAGCTCACCACTGCCATTGCCCAGCTGCCCACTGGCAAAGCCCTGCCCTCATGGCTGGCGCCGGCTCCACTTTGGGCACTCGCAGCCACTGAGGTCGCCACCACGATTCACCCGGTACTCTCGCAGTGGCTGGCAAACATGTCGGCGCCCATGCCGGGGCGATGGCCTCAATCCTCACTGTGTCTCCTCGCCAAGCCGACGAAGCCTCCGAAGTGCCCTGAGAATCTCAGGCCCATCGCTCTCCTGCACCCGGTGTCGAAATGCTTGGCGAAAATGGCGGCGGAACTGCTGCGCCCTACCGTACAGCACCTCGCCACTTGTCTTCCCCAGTTTGCTTACATTGGGGGTCGCTCTGTGGAAGACTCCATAGAACGCGCATGCTCCCATTGCGCGGCGGTACGCGCTGTACTCGAAGCGCAGAAGTATAGCATTCACCGTCGTCGTCAGGGGCACACTGTCGGGAAGTGCAAAGGGGGAATCACACTTTCTCTTGATCTCTCTCGTGCGTTTGATTGCTTGCCACGAGACGTCTTGCATAGAGCACTCACCTGGGCGGCTGTGGAACCTGCTTTGATTGATCTCATCCTTCACATCCACTACCAAGCCACACTCAACATTACGCATAAGTCACACACTGTTGAAGTTGAGCTTCACTCAGGTGTGCGCCAAGGGTGCAGCTTATCTCCTGCCTTGTGGAGCATCTTCATCTGTTATACTCTCCACCTCCTGAGCGATAGGATACCGCTCTCCTGTCTGACGGCCTTCTCCGATGATATCCTTGCACAATGGCAGGTTCATCAGCCGGAAAACATCCTTTGCATTTTGAAGGATATCGCTTTCATTATTGACACCCTTACCTCTCTCGGTATGTCAGTGAGTGACTCCAAAACAGTCATCCTGGACGGTCTTCGTGGCCCTGCCAAATCCAGGCTACTGCGCCCTTATCTGCAGCGCTCCAAAGACAAAGGCCCCTGTCTACGTGTGCCCTGTCTGGCAGGCCCGCTGGATTTACCCTTTCGCAAACAGCATCCCTACCTGGGCATTGTTCTCAGCTATGATTGCTTTGAGAAGTTGTCTCTGCAGGCCAGAATCAAACAGAGTTGGGCCAATTTCAGCCGCCTCTTCTCACTTTTGAGATCCAAGCATATCGTGCCCCAGCAACGCCTGCAGCTGTGGACGGCCTGTGTCTTCTCTACTCTCAGGTACGGCCTCACGAGCACTGGTCTTCCCCCTCGGGGACCTGATATTATCCGGCAGGTTGTGGCCAAGCAGATCCGTCTTGTCCTCAAGTCTCCAAGCTGGATCACTCACGAAAAGACGGCCGCGCTCTATGCTAGATTTCACTTTCTGGACCCTGTTGATCAGATGGCTGCCCAAATGCAGTCTAGACATAGCCGGCCTTCTCTCAGTATTGAGGCCTTCGACACTCCTGAACGCCAACGTTGGCGCTCTGCCCTCCCGGCCTCCTTTGCGCCCGACCCTCGTACTGATCGGCTGTCGCATACCCAGTCACCGGAGGAGATGTCTCGTTGTGGCCTCGTCGACGTATCGGGTGTCATTGCGCGCACCTACACCTGCCCACACTGCCCGCAGACTTTTCCCACCTTAATTGCCCTTCGCACCCACTGCACCAAATCCCATGGGAAGCCTGCCCCGGATATTCCCTCTTCGGTTGACCCAGAGCCCCCTTCTGCCTCGATTTTACACACTACATCCGTTCGCCGGGAAGCTGCCGCTCCCCCCGCTGCTGTTGTGTCTACCCCTTCTCCTGCTATCCCGCCCTCGCAGAAGGAGCTTCGTGCCAGGTTCATGCAGTTCGCTAAGGATGGCATGCCCCACTGTCTTCTCTGTGATCGCCAGTTTGCTGCATGGCCGCCTTTTCTGAACCATCACTACACCAACTCCTGCCCTGCTCAGGCTCATGATGGATCCCTCGTGAAGGACCCTGCTGCCCCTGCGGCCTCCTCCTCAGTCCTTGTTGCTGAATCAGTCCCTGATGCGACGCCTCAAACCTCCGACCTGGTCCCGCCAGTTGGGGTGGACACTCCACCTCCCGTTGAGGTGCCCTCTCATCAGTTGCCGCTCCTTCAAAGATCCGACATCCGAACACTGGCCTGTCAGGAGGATTGGCAACCTCTGGCACACTACCTCCGCTCCCTGCACTCTGCTCATGGGCTGCGGCACTGCCCTGTTTGTCATCAATGGTTCACTCGCACACAGGACATTTTTCGGCATCTGAAGAGGCAGCATCCGCTCCCGGCACTGCAAGAGTCAATGAGAGCTGATTGGCTTACAGCAAGGACGGCTGCCGCCCGCTCCCCTTGTAGCTGGTGCAGACTCGCTGTGACGTTTAAGACTCAGCACGCTGTCGCCTGCCCTGTTCTACAACAAACCATCACTTTGCGCATCCTCATTCGCCATGAGCTTGGCCTCCTCTCTTGCCCTGGGCAGCGGCCTCTCCCTGCAGGAGACACAACAACGGGAGGCTCAGGCCGAGCTGTTGCTCCTCCAATGCTGGGGAGAGGACAAGAAGGCGATGGTTCAGGACACGGCCAACAAGCGTTCGGAGATGGACCAAACGGAGGAGCCAGAGAGGGAGCGCGACGCGAAGTACTCCAGACCGGACTCCAAGGGTGGCTACGGCAGGGGCGGGAGAGGCAAGGGCAATCAGCCAAAGGCCAACGGCCCTCGCAGACAGCCCTTCCGCCGCTCGGCGGAGACAGAGGCCGGGGCGCCGGAGGGCATGATGTGGCTTCTGGGCAAGCTCCTTCTTCGGCACGAGGATCAAATGGGCATCGACAAGACCCAGAACAGCTTTGTCATGTTCTTCAAGCGAGAGAGTGCTCTCTCCCTGATCCCTCTCTTCGTGCAGAAGTCTCAGCACTGGAATGCCCTCAAGGAGCAGAAGCAGGAAAAGATGGACGAGATTGCTCTCCCTCTCAGAACCTTCCTGTTTCATACCCTGTTGGAGGCTCTGGTGAAGCGCATCAAGGATACCGTGCAGAACGACGAGCAGCTGAAGACGGCCACCACCCTCCAGGTGTTCCTTCCACGGGACGGCGACGCGGAGCTACAGGTGCCTTTTCTAAGCTACAACCAGGAGACCAAGACTCTGGCGCCTCGGCAGGATCTGCAGCCCCTTCCGGTCTCAACGATGCTCGAGAAACTGCAGGTCTTACAGAAGCAGTGCCTTTGTCCCCTGGCCATCATGCGCTTCCACTCCACCCAACGGCTCAGCGGGCCTCTCCAGGGCCCCACCGTGCCCTTCCTGCTTCAAGTGGGTCACAGATCGCCGGAAGCAGCCGAGCTATATCTGAGCCTCCGCTCGCTGGCCAATTCAGCGATTTGGCAGTTGGTGGGAGGGTCCCTGCGCCCGGAGAAAATGGGTCGCTCCGCGCTGGCGACAGAACTTGCTCGCCGCCTGCAAGGGCCCTTCACTCAGAGTGCCTGTTCTCCCTCTCACCCCAACTGCTGCGTATACGCAATGCCTCCAACCACTGCTATGCGAATTCGATGCTGTGTTGTCTCCACTGGGCCAATCAGTTGCTCTGCTCAGCATCGGCTCATCCTCAGGTGATCTGGTCCGCGGCCATGCATTCAGTCATGCGGAGAATGACTACACAGGCGCATGTCCCTGATCTTTGGTCTCTTCTCCAATGGGCCATCTTGCATTCCGGATGGGCCCGGCCACACTCCCAACATGATGTTGCGGAATATCTCACCTTCTGTCGCAGGTTCGTCATTCCGGACCTGCTCTTGGGCAGGTGGCAGAACAGGCTTCTTCTTACCGACTGCAACCCTTTTCGCTGCCAGGTGCGTGACTGTGGGGAAGCATGGCCTATGCTCCTTGCAACGCCACCCTCTCAGTGCGATACAGGCCCTAGTGGCAGAGTTACCATCCAACGGCTTATTCATGCATGGAAGGTCCAAGCTGCGGTTGGAGTCACTGCCCTCGAACGTGAGCCGAGCCTTTTAGTTTTGCAGGTCAATAGGTTCAGCCCTGATGCTATCGGTGCAAAGGATGCAACGAGTGTGCTGCCCGATCCTCGCATCTTGCTACCCTGCTTTCAGCATCGACCCACTCCGCATAATTCCGCCCTTCATGTGAGGCACTGCGAATATCAGCTGATTGCAATCATTATGCACGAGGGTCCCGTTGCAGCATCCGGTCATTACCGTGCGCTCCTTTGCACTTACCCTCCTGAATCGGAGCCCACTTTCTGGCTATGCGACGATTCAAAAGAGCCGACCACTCTCACCGAGTTGCCGCTACCAGCATTGACCACGGGCTATCTCTACTTCTACTGCCGCACTCAGCAGTCTCAGCAGTCCTAGCATGCTCGGAACGTTATGGGCCATTCGTGGCAGGTCCCGATCATCGCTACGGCTGCCAGCACGTTTCTCACCGACGTGTGCAAATGCACATGGCTCACAGCAGCCGGGGTGGCTCCCTGTCATAACAGCCTCGCCAAGCGGACTTCTTCTGCAGCGTATGAAAGAAAGATATGTATATATGTGTGTGTATCGAGATCGCTTGATCATTCGTCATTTAGTTGTTTATGCATTTGCTGATTCATGTTTGTGTGTTGACGAAGACCGTCTGTTTGTCGACATCAAGGCTATAAACGAGGAATCCTGACAAGTTTCCCTTGGGCAGCCCCCTACCTCCCCCCTCCGTCAAACAGGGTCGGTACAGTTACCCTAACAAGTTGAGCCTCCGAAATCAAATGCCCGGAAGATAAACGATCTTGCAGAGCCTTATGACCCTAAGTCTTACTAGCAGTTTCCGGGCGACCTACACCCAAAATCGCTAAACACCTCAACTCCTCAGACCAACTTCCCACAAGTCCTAAACCCAACAATGGCTGCTCCGCTGACAGAGCCGGCGGACGGCCGTGTGCGGGTGCTGGCACTATCTGGGAACATTGTCGCCGAGATCTCCTGCACGACTTATCCGAAGGAGTGCTCCCCGTCCGCACGATTAGCCACGTGTCTACATTACTAGGTAGGCCTTTGCGGCAGTTTTAATTTTCCCTTATTGGGCTTAATAGGACCCTATTTACCAATACTTTTCAGAGGCTTTAAAGGGCCAACCTAGATTACCCTCCAGTTTAGTCCCCCAACATCAACTTACGATGCCTATCCTAGCTATTCAAGCCCCTCGAACCCTTCAAAGCCTTATGAATCCCATGTAGAACCTTTACTTAACGGAACGCAGGCACCTACGTTGTTTTCTACAGGCGCACTCTAACATCGACTCCCGCTCTTCTAACATTACGGCCCTTCGACTTGGCCCGAGGCCTAAACCCTAGTCGCTGAACCCTACAACCCGATACCCATAACCCTGAATCCTAATCTTAATATCAGAAACCCTAAAGCCTGAACCCCAACAGCCTTACCACTTAATCAGGGTTCCTAACCTATACAGAAATTTAAACCCTAAGGCTCCATGTACCCATATAGTATATACATTGGCCTTAAAGTACTTATATACCTACTGATTTGGAGGTTAGACCCTCTAATTAAGGCGTCACAACCTACTATTTTGTCGGTGTTGGGGATACAGGAATCTTCTAAACCCTGATTCTGAACCCTGCAGGATTTGCTTTCGGGTTTGAGGGTCTGTAAGCCAAAACCTGTACCGAAATTCGGATAATTATTCACGATGCAGCAAAACCCTCTAAACCTTAGCCGTAGATCATATCAACAAATCCCGAAACTAGCACCTAAACCACATCACTGATACCCTAAGCCGTAACATCTGAACCCTCATAAGCCCTAAGACCCAAACAACCCTTAACCCTGAATCCTAAACCTAAATTCTTAAACCCCAAGCCCGATCCTTATTATAATGGACCCCAAATAACGTACCCCTAATTTTCGGAAGCTCTAAACTCTTATAGAGCCCTTTAGAGGAACCCTTAGAGTACCCTCTACAGAAACCCTCTCAAGCAACCCTAAGGTACCCCCACTTGTCGGAAACTCCCACATCAACCCTAAACCCTAAACCCTAAACCCTAAACCCTTCCATGCCCAGGTTTCCTTCACAACCTGACCGAGCAGGTCGCTGCCCAGTGGTCCCAGCCATGTTGGTGTTTCCGAAAATTGCAGTAGAAGCCAGAAAGTTGGAACATGACTTTAGGAGGATTAGTGCTAGGATCCCTTATACTTAACCTTAAGGGCACGAGGCCAATGATGTTCCAACTTTCTGGCTTCTACTGTAGGGGTTACCTTCTTTTGGTGTCCTTATAATTTGGGTCCTACTTGTTTAGGGTACTATATTGGGGTTCCATGTTTTCGGAGACTCCCATGTTGGTGGGAAGGAGAAGTGAACTTTTGGGGGCTGAGGGTTTAGGGTTCAGGAATTTTTGGTACAATACAGCTCCAAGGAAGAAGGAGAGGTGGACTGCTTCGTGAGTGCTCTCTGGGATTTCTTTTGATCTTCATAACAAAAAACCCTAAACCCCTAAAGCCAGACTTCCAGGAACTGTTATTAAGATCTATGTTTTCTTGTCATTACTTACAGGGTTGCTTCTGAAGGGGTTTACTAATGGCATGGTGGTCTGTAAATGTATGGCCTACAGATTTCGGGGCTTAGGGGTAGTTATAAGTAGGCTATACGTCCCCTAATAGTGGTTATAAGTACAGTTGCCTTACCTATAACCCCAAGTAGAACTACCCATGAACCTCCGAGTAGAGATTTAGCGGTTTAGGGGTTTGTGGGTTGGCTTCGGGCCGCTTCGTGAAAAGAAGAGGAAGTCAGGAGCTGTAACTTCAACGGTTTGCGGTTTTGGGTTCAAGGTTCAGGGCTTAGGATTTACCTGATTTAGAAACCCTGGACCTATAACTTCTATAACCTCCCCAAAGAACAGTAGGATTCATAGAAGGAACCTAATAAAGGACCCAAGGTTTCTTAATCAGGTTCCTACATTAGGGTTTAGGGTTTTGTTTGTTCACGGTTTATAGACCCTTCACTCTGGTCCAAGCTTCGTATCAAAGAGTACTTTTTCACATAGACAATGGATGGCGACTATCGACGGACCAACCTGCGTTGCACAGTGTTTTTGACAAGCCTTCAGTTGGCAGGACGATTGAAACTCGCGTCCACACTTTACATCTCGAATCGAAGTTCCATTGGTCGACAGTCATGTGTGGGAAATACCCATAGGCCCCATAGTAGTTCCTCTTGGCGGTTCATATCTAGAATCCTATAAGGTCATCACAAACGGAGCTACTATGGGGCCTATGGGTAAAGCCTTACGACGAAAGCCAGGCAAGCAACCTGGTTCAGGCAAACATGGAGACTGCCACAGGGAAGGGCAATGAGCCAGGGGCCTTCATAATCACCTACGCTGCCTATTACTATTTGGGGAGTTCCGTATGATAAGTATAGAATAACATACCCCCCAAACCCAAACCCTTTTCTAATTATGAAGGCCCCGATATCATGGCTCAACGTCTCTTCCGGCGTCGTGCCCCTGCAGTTCTGCAGAGCACGACGCAGGAAGACAACGTCCGCCCATGAGGCCGCAGCCCAAGATTAGGGTTTAGGGTTTAGTGTTTAGGGCAAGCTGTAAGATTGTCGAAGCATCACTGCATGCAATGATAGTGTGGCTGCATGCAAACCCTAAAACCTGCCCACCTGAGATTCGGGTGCCACTCCAGACTAGCCTAAGTGTGGCTTCTAGTTTTGTGATGAACGGTTTTGTGAAGAGTGAGATTGAATGAGCATGAAAATCTCCGTAACCCCAGACCCTAAACCCCTAAACCCTTTATAAGCCTCAAACCCTAAACCACGACCCCTTTCAACCCTACACCCCTTAAAGTCCTAAACCCTAAATATCCCTCAACCCCGAAACCCCTCAACCCTACTTGGAGGCCCTGTTGACTTAGTAAGTCTACTTAGTATCCCCTAGAAACCCCATTATAATCCCCATAACCCACCTTACTAACCCTACTTACTAAGTCAAAAGGGCCTCCAAGTAAGCTCCTAAACTTAAACCCTTGAAGCCTCCCCAAACCCCCCCCCCCCCCCCCCCCCCTGCTCAAAAGCCCCCAAAGCCTCAGCCGGCAGAGCCCTAAATCTAAACTCCCTAAACCCTACACCCCTAAACCCCTTAAATCCCTCAACCCCGAAACCCTTAAATCCCTCAACCCCTTATATCCCTCAACCCCGAAACCCTAAACTCCTAAACCCCTAACCCCTAAATCCCCCCAAAACCCAGAGAGCCAGGCTCCAATGGCCCTGCGCTCGCTTGGAGCTCCTCTTGGAGGGCCGCGCGGCCACCGAGGCCAGGCTAGCCGCAGCTGGTTTAGGGTTCAGGGTTTGGGGTTTTAGGGTTTGGGGTTTTAGGGGTTTGGGGGTTTAGGGGTTTAGGGGTTTAGGGGTTAGGGGTGTGATTAGGGTTTTAGGGGTTTGGGGTTTAGGGGTTTAGGGGTGTAATTAGGGGTTTTATGGGTTTGGGGTTTTGGGGCTTAGTGGTTTAGGGGTTCAGGGGTTAGGGGTTTAGGGGTCAGGGTTTGGGGTTTAGGGTCAAGGGTTTATTGAGGTCTATAGGGTTACGGGTTCAGGATCTTAAAGGCGAAATAATTACCAATACTGTTTTGGTGGTTCCTTAGTATAATCTTAGTATATATTGAAACTATACTGGGCCCCAAAACCCTGTTCTAATCATGAAGGCCCCCACATTGCAAAGAGTCACGGCGATCAGTGCGAAACCGTGACCGCAACGGCCTGGCCACCCAAATCCAAACTTGTCAGGGGACCTGGAATGAACATCCACTTACATGGGGCTTCCCGAGAAGAGGGGACTAAATAGTAGGATCCTGATTTTAAGGACCCCAGTATAAGGTACTCCCAATCTTCGGAAACTCTCATCAAGTTCCTACCCATGGGTTTCAGCCTTAAGTGGAACTTCCGAAACCTCCCTCTCGCGATCCTTATGTTTGAGCTGGTCTAAGGGACTAGGGTTTAGGGGTTTAGGGTTGAGGGTCTAGGCTTTAGGTTTTAGGTTTGGGGGACCCTTAGTACCCGAAAACCCTGAACCTTGTGCCACATACATCCACGTACTGCGTTTACCCTACAGTTTTCACGGTTTAGGGTTTAGGGTTTAGGGTTTAGGCGTGTTGCAGCTTGAAGCATTTGTCAGTGTTTGACCCCATGACATGCTCTCGTCATTCTGCATTTGTCCAGCTCCAATACCCACTAAACCCGCAAAATGGAACCCAGTAATTCAAAGATAAGAAATCTGGGGCGTTTAGGGTGAACTCAACCCGGAAGACTGTTTGTCAAGATGCAACCCTAGTCCCTAAACCTTCGACTTTTGCAGACTAAACTCTAAGCAGAAACTCTAGAAACACCAAGTCCTAACCTGTTAAACCCCAAGCCTAAGCCCTAAACACTGAACCCTAAGCCTCTGGGGCTCCGCTGAACCTTATCCCTAGAAGCCCTAAACCCCATTTTTCCAAGTCTGACCCTAAATAAAAAACCCTACCAGGATGCCCAGTAGTACCCTTATTCCCTTTTTGTAGTCCTAGGTTCCTTTTGAAGTTACCCAATACCAAAAAGAGAGGCCTTTTTATTCTTAGGTTACTGGGTATCCTAGCCTTGCACCAAGTCTTTTTGAATTCGGTTCTCGAAGGAAGACTTCACGTCTGGAGGGGCCGCTCGGCGTGGGTGGTGGCTGGCTCGGGGCTACTACACTTGGAGGGTCGGGGGACTTAGTAAGCAGGTAGTAAGTAGACTTATAAGTATTCTAAAAGGGACCCTAGTTGGGGTTATGGTACTTATAATTCCCTAAAATAACCAGTTACTAAGTCCCCCGACCCTCCAAGCAGTGCTATTTTAGAGGGTCTTCAGATACTACGATTATGGGATCAAATCCCCAAAGCCAGAATAATGAATTGCTTTCGGTACCTACTTCCATAATGGTAGTAGATATGGACTCTGTGGGTAGTGCGACAGGGACATTATTAAGCAGGCTTTTTGCTATCAAAGCCACCATTGGGGGACCGAGCCCGTATTCAGTTTTCGCTTTTGGATTCGGGCTTGAGGGGTTTAGGATTTTGGTTGTTGTTTTTGAGGGTCGGCACATACACCCTACTCCGTTTTTTGGGCTGACGGTTTTGGGAAGTTTTGGCACATAACTCAGAAGTATGCAGCCGTGGGATTTTAAGGGTTCATGTTTGCCGCAATGAGGTTCCTGCGCCTGTGGGTGTCACGGCACCCCGTGTCGTAGACGGCACTCCTAAACCCTAAAACCCTAAAGAAGTAGGATGCGCAAGGCCCAGCCAGAAATCCGCCCCAACTTTGAGCATAAACCCCGAACATGAACCCGAAGGTTTCAGCCCCTGGACCCTCAAGTTTTCAAGAGCCGCTAAACGCAGAAACAAATTAAGAGGCTAGAATGCCAGAGCCCACCAAAACCCTTTCACAAAAACCCAAATAGAGGGGTATCACGGGAACATAAAGCTCGCAAGAGTAAGCCTGGCCACCCTGAACCCTCGGCCCTAAACCCTAAACCCTAACCCCCAACAAAAAAGACACTTGACAATAAGCCCTAACCCTAAACCCTAAACCCTTTAAACCCTAAGAATCCTAAGAGCCTAAGCCCTCTACCACCTTCATCGCAAGGATCGCGACCTCCAGGCCAAAGTTAGAAAGTTACGGGTTTTGGGGGGCTAGGGGTTGCATGCTTTGAGGGGTTTAGAGTTTGGAGTTAGAGAGTGTCGGATATCAGGGTTAAGGTTGTAGGGTTAAGGGATGTTGAGGGTTTAGACTTTACGGTTGGGGGTTTATACATGTTCAGACGTTAGAGTTTGGTAAGGTCTTAGGGACTCTCGGCTTGACCATAATGCTAAGCCTTATGGCCAGTGTTGAGTTTGATTCTCAAGGTGAGTGAAAGCCAGAGACAATGTAGTAGAGCATCATTATCCTCACGCCCTTGAGGTAAAGCAAACAAGAATCCCAGCACTCATTGTCGTGAACCCCGGTGCTCTTCTTGAGACTTTATTTACTTGCACAGGAGGTGGTGCATGTATACATTCAGTCATGTCTTTGGAAGCTTCCTTCTCATTTGCATGTACAGTTAATACTTTTTCTGAATTGAAGGTTTTTTAGTTGTAAAAGGCGAAAATCCCAGACTGACTTTGATTAGGAGATTCCGGCCCGTCCAAGGAGATACCACGAGGACCCTTACAGCACACTACAAGCTGAAACCTTGGCACAAAAAGCATATCCTGCGAGGCACTAGGACCCCCATCCCTCCGAATGTAGGGGCCTTGTAATAATTACCCATACTATTTTGGGGGTTCCTTATGATGGTTATAGCATAAGGGGGCCGAAAACTCTATACTAATTCTTCGCAAACGCTGGATGCTTTTGCGAAAATGCAGCTGGAGCTTCGGAGAGAGGGGGTTTAGGGTTTCAGGGTTTTGGCATTGTAGGTTTTAGGACTTCTGTGGTTTTTTAGGGTTTAGGATTGCGGCTTAGGTTGCGTTAGTAATGCGTCCCCGCACCATTAGTAATACTAGTCAGAAGAATAGCAATAATGCTACCACGGGTTTTACTATTCATTTATTTCTGCTTCGACATTTCTGAAAGTCCAACCAAAACAGAACTGCTCGCAATGACATGTCAGGACTCTATCTACTCATCGGCTCGTCTGCTGTTGGTTGTTTCGGGGTTCAGGGTTTAAGTTGTTTGGTCCTGTTTCTAGGCGGGCTGGCGGGATGCAGCAGCCTTTCCCAATTGTTGATTCGGGCAAAGAAAAAGGTATGTTACTTACGAGTACTTTTCAGAAGGTTTCAAGCCCCCGTGTGTGGATTTCGAGGGCGTGTAGCTGGCGACGTTCGCCCATGTCTATGTACATTGCAAAACTCAGGCGGCAAAGAAGTACAGTCTGCGAGATTTAAGGCTTCAGGTGTTTGAAACCCGGAGAAACCCTCCGACATCCGTGCGTAATCGGATATACAGCCTCTTGAGGTGATTCGCAAGCCTTTGCTGACAACGTATTCTCGTGACATCCTCTTCGCCATCCGCACCGGCAGAGTCCAGTTCCTGAAGGCCCTTAAGGGGTTCTATGGCGTGTTGGATCCTATAGGATTTGTGTAGGGTGTTCTAGGGCTTATGGATCTTTGAGGGTTTGGTTCAGGCTTGGAGGGTGCGAGGTCCTTCCGGATTAATAAGGATTTCGGATGATTTCGGGATAAGATACTTCGGTTGATTCTGCTAAACCTTAAACCCTAAACCCCTAAATCCTAAACTCTAAATTCCTCAATTCCTGAACGCCAGGAGAGGTTGGCTGCGGGCCAAGATCCCAACAGCCAGCTCGCCTGGGAAGCTTTGCCGCTGCACGAGGCGGTGTCCAGGCTGGCGACCCAAGAGCTTCTGGGTTCCTTAGGGGTACTTAAAAAATAAAGTTTCAATTTTTGGTTATCAAATCCCCAAGAAACGGCCAAAATCATAATTGTTGCTAGGGTTCTAAGTTCAGTATAGGTTCTCTTTTAGGAGGTTAAGGGTTTAGGGTTCTACAAGGGGGTTCCTTTTAAAGAGGTTTATAGGAGCTTAAAGGTTTAGGAGCTTTAGGTTCTTCCGGGTTTCGTAGGTTTAAGGCTTCCGTTTAAGGGATCCTTTAGTAGGGTTTAAGGGTTCCTTTTAAGGGATCCTCTAAGGGATCTCTATAGGGCTTTTTTAAGGGCTCCTCTACAGGGGTCAGGGGTTCAGGGTTTAGGAGCTTTAGGCTTTAGGGCTTAATATAGGTGCCTAAACAATTGCCAACACTATTTTTCAGGTTCCTTATTACCATAGTAGTATAGCCCTAAACCCTAAACCCTAAACCCTAAACCCTATAGTAGTATAGTGGGCTCCCAAACCCTATATTACTTATTAAAGCACTGCGTTGGGAGCTTGCGGGTTTCGTAGGTTTAGGACGTTGAGGGTTTCAGGAGCTTTAAGGGTTCTGTTTAAGGGATCTGTAAGGGATCTATATGGGTTTAGGGTTTAGAAGGTTTGGGGTTTAGGAGGTTTAGGGTTCAGGTGGTTTAGGGTTTAAGAGGTTTGGGGTCTGGCAGGTTTGGGGTTTAGGAGGTTTAGGGTTTCGTGTTGCCCTTTCTCAACTGCTTCGTTTGGGCTCGACTCTTGTGCGTGGTCTTTGAGAAGGCTTCGGGTTTGGGTTCAGTGGCTGTAAACTACTGGGACGCAGGTTCCTGTTTCCGTGCAGTTCTCAAGTAACCATTGTCTGCGCGTCACCAGACACATCCGGGGTCATCGTGCTCAAAGAGCACCGTCATGTCGCATAGATGTGTCTGCGATCGTAGTTTGGTGTTCCCCGAGCACCTCAGAAGTCACCATGAAATTTAGGGTCCTTCTTGTGGGAGTGACACTCTTTTTCCGGGGTCCGACACGGTTCTTTCACTTCGAGATTTGTTGAGACACCACCTGAGATATTAGGGGGCCTTGATTATGCATTTTCGTCATTAGTTTGAGGATTATTCCTCAATTACCGGGTATTGCGCTCTCTGGGCAGGCAGCAGTCTGATGCGGTGGAGCTTCTACTGGCTGCCCGTGCCGCGCAAGACGATATTGGATTCCCGCGCTAGCTTGAGGGTTTTGGGTTTAGGGTTTACGACTTGAGGGTTTAGGGCTTCCTGTTTGGCTTAGATAGAGGGCAGTATCCGTGTGTCTATATCTTACAAAGTCATAGAACCTCTGGCAGTCGTATATAATCCCAAGATAACTTAAACCGTACGAAGCCGTTCTAGAGAAGCTCAATGTACTCCTTTTGGAATCCTAGGGTGCATGTGCAATGGGGCTTCGCTTTAGGGCTTTGGGCTTATATGTAGTATGAAGTATGAAGGTTTCATGGCATGTCACTGCAAAATGATTCGTGGCTGAAGGTCCTTAATCAGGGCGTTAGGTTCTTTTCGGATTCACGGTTTGGGGGTTTAGAAAGTCTCAAGGTATTGAGACTTTCATTGCAGCTTATGAAGTTTTGCTATATGAAGTTTTGCTATCTTCTAGCGGCGTAAACCACCCGCAGCACTTTTCACGGCATCCACCCTTCTTGAGACCTATCTATAGATACCCATAAACCACAGAGCGCTAAATCCCGCAACTCGACATCTTACAAAACCAAAGCCCAAGAGAAACCCAAGCCCCACGTGCCCTCCTACTTCCGATAAGAGTCTGAACCCTCAGGCAAAAAGGCCCCAAAGCCTTAATATACGAGTCGGTAGAGCATGTGGGAATAGTCGTATGGAGAGGTGCATGGCTGAATGCTCGTTCCGAAAATCCAACATTTGTTCAGCTCCTAGAAATATTGCTCGGTGTACCGCGCCTTAAATCTCTAAAAGGCCCTGTCTTGAGGCTTGTAAGGCTTCTAGGCTTCTCTGAGCGTCCAGGGTATACTACAAACCCAAGGGGTGATGAAGCCTATCACTAATCATTTGGGGTCCAAGTACCCAGACAGCAGGCTTTCAGGTATCCGAAAACCCTTCGGAGGACCATGCTAGGGGCGTACCCAGAGAGCCCAATACCCCTTAATTAAAGAATATGGCTTAAACTATATAGGGCTTCATATTATGATTTAAGCTATATTCCTTAATTAAGGGGTATTGGGCTCTCTGGGTAATTCCCTACTTGCGCAGATGCTCGGACCACAAGATCCCTTGGGGCCCAGGTGCAGACACTGGGCTGTTGGATCTGGAGGGCCAAACGACCTTGAACCTTGCGCCCACCGACTGATGGTTGGCATTAAACTAGAAGCCAGAAAGTCGGAACGCATCATTGTCCATTGTCCCCCCATGCACTTAAGGTAAAGTTTCGGACCAATCATCCTTTACCTATGATCCGGCTTTCTGGTGTTCACTATACTCCGGTTCAGGCTCCAAGGCTTTTGGGTGTTCGGGTCTAAGCACTTCTGATACTGCTATGAGCTTTAGGGTTTAGGGGTTTAGGGCTTAGGGTTTAGGGTTTAGTGCTGTGCCTTACCGTGATTTCCATGTTTTCTGTGATGGCAGAGCCGGTCAGATAGCCAAGCTCGGCACGTATTCAATTTATGGCAAAGATCCTGCATTGAAGAAGTGAATACACCCTCAGTGCTGTACTTGGGGCACTTGCCCACGGAGCATGAAACCAAACCAAAGAGTCGATGCTGCAAGACTTTGACCGCTAAACCCTGGCGAAAATACCCTAATCCCGAAGCCCAACAACCCTATTCTGATTATAAAGGCCCTTATACTAGCCTCCCCACCGAGGGTCGAGGGCGGGGCCGTGGAGCTCATAGATCAGCTGCTAGCTGCGAGAGCTGACATCAACAAGGTCAGGGTGGGCTTTAGATGGGAGTTTCCAAAAATAGGGGACCCTAATATAGTACCCAAAATAGTAGGATCCTTATTATAAGGACCCCCAGAAAGGTACCCTCAATTTTAGGAAACTCCCAGATCGGTTGTGAGGTCGCTTTCGGCTTTCACGGCCTTTTTGGCGGTAAACGAGGTTCTAGTCGAAGTGTGACTCCGATAGCCTTGCTGGGCGTATTGCGGAAACCCAAATCTAGGTTGGATTTTAGGACATGTTTTATTTTCCTTGTCTGGGTTTATAAGGGACCCTATATATAAATATTTTTCAGGGTGTCCCGTTCTGTTTAATTAAAGGCCAACCCAGTAATATCTAAACCTGAACCCAGAAGGACGGCTCCTGCTTTGGGCGTGTCTTGCAGAGTCAGCTTCGTCTTTAATGGTGTATGAGACCTGGTGAAGGTACCTTCAGCGTAAATGCACGCAAAGGCTCCGAAACCCCTCAATTAAGGAATATGCCTTAAATCATTTTGGGGGTCCCTGCTACAGTTTGAGATGTATTCCATAATTCAGGGTTTCGAAGCCTGTGGGTAGTTCCTATGTCTAGGATCCGCAATCTGGATAACTGTCAAAATCCTGATCTGTTTCGGGAGCCCTGTATAATTCTATTCTGAATACGGTGCCCGAAAGTTTCGGGAAGTTCCTATGTCTAGGATCCTAATTGAAGCAACCCCGAACCCGAAATTTGAACCCGTAGGCCCTTAGGTCCTGGACTGGCGCGCTTTTAGACAGAGACCAGGTTAGGGCTTTAGGCCTTAGGGTTTAGGCTTGCGGTTGTTGTAGGGTTTAGGGTGAGAGGGTGTAGGGTTTTGGTTTGTGGTTTGTGGTTCTTATAGGGTTTAGTTTAGGAGTGATAATAGGTTTTTTGAATTAAGGGTTCAGAGCACAACAGTCAGAATAAACTGTAAACGCTCGCGCCTGGACCCTCCAGCAGCCCAGTCGGGGTGTCCATGTTGCCATATAGTATATACTCTGGCCTCTATAAACCCTAAACCCTAAACCTTAATGCGCCCTATACGGTTTCCTTTGAGGGGCTCCTTAAAAAAAACATACCAGAAGGGCTACGTTTAGGGTTGAAGGCAACGGGCCTTTATAGAGACCCCTCTCGTCCAAAGTATACACTAGGAAAGAGGTGCCCTAAGGCCCGTCAAAGTATCAGGCTTGGTTTCCTCAACCCTAAATCCCTAAACCCTAAACCCTCAGGGAACCCAGAAGGAATGTAAACAGATCTTAAAGGAACCCCCTAAAGGAACCCTTATAAGATCCCTTATTTATAGGACCCTCTAGAACCCTATAGATCCCTCAGGCAGACAAGTGGGAGCGCAGCCCTCTGAATATGGTGGCCTCCACACGCGATCGCGAGATGCTTCTTCGACTGCTGGAGGCCGTGGCGTTTGGGGCTGAAAGCTGGTGTCAAGAGTTAGAATTTAAGCTAACAAATAAAGGTTTATACATGGGTTTGCAGGTTTAGGGCTCAGGGTTTATGTTTTAAGGTTTAGGGTTGAAGTTAAGGTTTACAGGTTCAGCTTGCGGTGCGATCCATTTTTGGGTGTACGGTTCGGGGATTGTCCCAGCCCAAGCCACCTGAATCCTAAACTCTTCAATCTGTTTAAGCCGCGCCCAAGCCCTACCCCGAAACCCCGAAGCAGCAAGCAATATGACCCTAGCCGTAAGCCCTAAACCTTCAAGGTTTAGGGTTTAGACCACTCGCTAGTATTGTATTTTACCATTTATAAGGCCCCCCCTATTACTCAGCATCGGGTTCTTAGTCTTCGGTTCAAGATGGGTCTGTTAGGAAATATTGGTGAGAGCAAAATAAGCCCTCCTTTGAGGATATGTCCGGCATCGTGGATCCTGCCCGAGAAGTAAGCCCTAAACCCTAAACCCTAAACCCTAAACCCTAAACCCTAAGCCCTAAACCCTAAACCCTAAACCCTAAACCCTAAGCCCTAAATGCGTGAAGTGTGCCCAGGTACAGCAGAGACAGGTTGTGCGACCGACGAGGCTGCTTTTGCTTGAAAAGTTTGGTAGTCGCGTGTACCGTGGCTAGGTGTGCTTATCTCGACATTCTTTAGGCTTTCTAAGGTCTTTATCTTCACATAGGTTATCAGCCGTAGCGGCTTAGGTAAGGTTTTGAGCTTCCGGTGTGAGTGTTACGTGTAGTAACGACTTCTTAGTCTGTGGCCATGGACCCTCTGACGCGGAAGAGACGTCCTGATATGGCGGCGGAGCAGGAGGAAGCCGGACGAGACCAGGAATACCGAGCAGCCTTGAGCCAAGCTGGAGCACCTAGTGTTCCGGTCGGAGGTGCCGGAGGGGCATCTCTGAATGGCGTGGTTCCAGGAAGGTTTGCTGGGGGAGAAGCCTCCCCGGGAACACTGGAATCAGGGGAAGCTGTGGTTTCGGGTGGAGAAGGCGTCTTGCCTACCTCGCATCCTTTTCATAGTGATCGGATTAAATCAGAAGTGCAACTGCAGCGATCCCGACCTTCTACACTGGATGCTGATGCGAAGCGTCTGGGCGTGGACACGGATTCGCCCGCTCTGGGGGAAGCTGGGGTTGGAGCGGAGCCGGACTATTCGGCAGCCTTTGCGTCTTCAACTGCACCGGGACCTCGAGTAGCTAGGGTGGAGGCGGCTCCTTTCGGGTCTGGATCTGGGCCTGAGGGAACTTTACATCGAGTGGTCAATGAGGCCCCAACGACTTCAGCAAGGCCGATTGATCATAAAGAGAATGTGGGTACTACAGAGCCGTCTGGAATTGCTACCGAGGGGCTGGACCCTATAGAGGACGAGGCTCCGGAGTTGCTGCCGGATGTGGACCGTACTACTAGGCTGGAGCAGATGATTTTGCAACTGGTCGATGAGAATCGGTCACTGAAGCGCAGGATGGAGCAGGCTGAATGGCGGTCTCAGGGAAGCTGGCATAGCGGGACCCCGGGAGAGGCTGCAATGACCTCGCCTGTTTCCTTCACGGTGGAAGGAGGAGCGCACTTTCGTGAGCCTGTACAGAGCTTTGGGGAGTTAGGAAGGTTTGTAGGAGGGCCTCAAAGAGGCTTTGAAGGAGTGGCCGAGCCCAGTTTCCCGGATCCTAGGAGAACAGGAGGGATTTATGGTGGTTCGTATGGTCTGAAGGGTGGAACGGTTTCGGGAGAGCAACTTTCCTTGGCAACTGTGGGTCCACCACCTGTCTCGTCGGGGGTTTCAAGACCACCAGGGATAGTGGGATTTGAGCTTGTGCCAACTTCTGGAATGGGGTCTCTCGAGGCGTTAGGGTCCTACGATGTGGAGGCTTCCGGTTCTTCAGGGTTCATTCCGAGTCCGCCTCCTCCGATTCCCTGCGGGGAACTTGTGCGATCTTCTGAGAGTGCAGCTGGAGCTACGCAGTCAATGAGGCAGTTTACTGCCCAGGCAATTGCCGAGACTTCGGGGTTTTCGGTGGGTTTCCATACTCCTAGGTCTGCGATTGGAAGTAGGGTAGGCTTCGACGTTAATGGGTATCCTATTTCCCCGGGGGGAACTGTTATTCGGCCTCCGCCAGTGCCGCCGCCCCAAAGGGAGAATCCGGGGTGGGCTAGTGGGCCAGGTGTTGGGGAAATGAGACAGGGGTTTGCCGCTTTGCCTGGTGCCGGGATTCCTCCAAGCATTGGGGTTCCGCCTAGTGTGGGGGTTCCGGGTTTGAGTCAGCAGGGTGGAGTTCCTAGGTTAGGGAATGATGTACGACCGGAGGAACCGGCAAAGTATATTAGTGAATTGCCTAAGTTGAATCAAACGGAGCTGTCCCAGTCGGCGGTAACTTGTGGTAACTGGTTGGCCCAAGTAAGACAGGTTTTGGTTGGGCTTTCGCCGAGTGCTACGGTGTGGTGGCAGGGGGTCGAATCCCCTGCTACTAGGGCGTACCAAAGGTGGCTAGTAGCGGATCCGTTAGGCCGGTTGGGGATTGATCCGTCATCGGTTGTGGGGGAGTTTGACTCTCATCTGTACGGCAGGGTTGAGTCAAGGGCGATAAGTCTTCTGTTGGCAGCTGTACCGCAATCGGTAAGGGATGACGTGGTTACCAATCGGTGGCTTTCGAGTGCGGCTATCCTTTTCAGGGTGCTCTGTTTGTTTCAACCTGGAGGGTCTAGTGAACGATCTCACTTGTTGCCCCATTTGGTGAGTCCGGATCAGTGTAAGACGTTTGCTGAGGCAATCAAGGGTCTCCGTAAGTGGCAACAAGGGTTGCAAAGAGCGGGGGAAATACATGCTACCCTTCCTGACGCGTCTCTTCTCCTAAAGGGGGTTGACAATGCCACCCTAGCACTCCTAGCGGCTCATCCGATGATCGGGTTTAGGGTCAACGCGTTTCGCCATCAATTAGCCATCGATTATAACCCTACAGTGTCTAGTGTAGTCCAATTGGTCCGTCTTATACAGGCGGAATGTGAAGCGGCATCGATTACAACGGACGGAGGGGCAGATAAACGTGCTAGAGCGGCTGCTTTGACTGGTCCCAATCCTTCGCCTCCGGCTAAGTCGGTTCCTACTCCACCTCCCCCGCCATCTGTGTCGGTCTCGGCTGCTGTAACAGACAAGGGAGAGGGTAAGGGGAAGGGTGGGGGCAAGGCCAAGGGGGGTGATGGGGGCCAACAGTTGTGTCACAAGTTCTCAGACGCCTCGGTGCCGTTTTGGGGATGCGTGCATCTTTAAGCATGACAGGGCGAAGGCGCGTAAGGAGAATAGATGCTTAGCTTGTGGGCAGAGTGGACACTTTAGGCCAGAGTGCCCGCTGGTTGCGCCTGAGAATAGGCTAGTATCGGCAGAGGGCGGTAACGAAGGGTCGCCGAAGGGAGGTTCCCCAACGGGTGGAAAGGGTCCTAAAGCGAAGGCTAAGGCAAAATCAGGTGCCCAGGCGAAAGGGATTTCCGAAGATGCTGGGCCAAAGGCCGACGCTGTAGTTGCAAGTGCAGCTGCTGGTGGATCGAGTCCGAGTGCAGGAGTAAGCCAAGAAGCATTAGTAGCGGAAGCTACGAGGCTCCTAAAGGGGGTATCGTTGAGGGCTTTTACTGTGGATGATTGGGAAGTGGATCTTGCGTGGGTTCATAGCGCCATTGCTAATGCTTCGAACCAGGCTTTCTGCCTAGTGGACTCTGGGGCAACAAACGCCTTGAGGCCTGCTGAAGAATGCGAGCTCGGCACGTGCCGGGTAATTCATGTTGACCTAGCCAGTGGAGGTACGGAATTGATGATCAATAGCCATGGCACTTTATTGCATCCCGGACCGTGTCAAGTCATTCTACCAGCAAATTACTTGATCCAGATGGGTTTCTCCATTGTCTGGAAACGAAGGGGTTGCAGGATAAAGCATCCTAAGAAGGGTTGTTTGGATGTTACTGTGGTTAAGGGTTGTCCTTTGATACCTCGGGAGGTAGGGTTGTCGTTGCTGAAGGAGTATGAAGATCGTCTAGCGGGGATCCCACTGCTGAATAAGGCGGAGGTGTGTGATTTGCAAGCGACGATGACTCCGTTCCAATCTCGGACGTGGCTGAGGGATCGGCTGCGGAATCGCGAACGGGGGTTGACGGATGTAGATCAGCTTACCTTTCTTCGTGGAGTGTTTCCTGGAGTTCCAGTGGAGTTTCTAGCCAGGGCATGTGTGCCTGCGCTTGACCGCAGTTTTGTTGATTGGGCGGAATCACCATGGAACCGGAGGTTCCGAAGGTCAGTGGATCGGGCCTCCCTCGGGTCTGTGCTAGTTGCTGTATCGCCTTCTCAATGCTCTTGGAAGGGACTTGGAAAGGTGGTCGCAGTATCTGATTCCGAAAGGGGCTTGGGTTCGCGCTTGGTGTTTCAGCTGTTGCTAAGCTGGGCTGAGCAGGGCAAGATTGGTGGCTTGGTTCAGGGAGACGGGCTTTTTGACGTAGGTCTGAAGCAAGGGGAATTTCATTGGAAGCCTAATCCAGGTACAGACGAAGGGCAACGGATCCTAGTAGAAGGTTCGGTTGGGATAATCCGATGGTTTTTGCTCTTTGCGGTGGCTCAGGCTAGTAAGGACGGAAGGTCCAGTCGGTCTGTAGATAGCCAACGGGATCCGAGTGCTGCTTCGCTGTCTGCGGATGCTGTGACAGGGGCTCAGGCTCTTGAACCGGCTCAGCGGGCTGGCAAAGACGAAAGTCTGGTCTTTATGGTGTGTGGGATTCCTGGGGATCCAAGGGCGAAGGGGTCTCAAGGGGTCTCGGGTGTACCTTGGGATTCTCGGTCTGTAGAAGCCTTTCAGCAGGCGTATGAGTTGAATCGAGCCAGCTTTGATCAGAGCTGTTTTGGAGCGATGGATCAGGTTTCTGCGGAGCTTCTGACGTCATCCTGGTTTCTTTATGAGGCAGTGCATGAGATACGGATGAGTTCG